CCCTCCCCTCCTCACACACACACACACACACACACATATGGCCATCCAAGGCCGGTTAACCAGTGAGTGACCAATGCACTCTCTCTCTCTCTCTCTCTCGGCCACGATCACCAACGGCGGTATGCTATGCGATGTCGTCATAGTTGGCCCCCCCTCTCTCTGTTCCCGGCTCCGGTGGCTGCTCGCCAGATGGCAACGGGGGCTGCGGCGGCTGCTGTTGCTGCGAAGCCAGCAGACACGTGGACACCACACCACACCCCACACACACGAATCACGTGTGTCTCCCCACACACACGAATCACGTGTGTCTCTGTCCATCTGCTCAAGGGCGCACCTGTGCTGCCGGCTGCTGCTGCTGCTGGTGCTGCTGCTGTGGTTGTTGCTGTTGCTGTTGCTGCTGCTGCTGCTGCTGCTGCATTTGCATGATTGCCTGCGCCTGCACATGGGCCTGCTGCATCTGGCACCACACACACACATACACACATGCAGAGAGAAGTGCGTCTTGCGTTGGGAGAGGGAGAGGGCGCGCGGAGGGAGGGGCAGCGGACGGACGGACATGACATACCATTGCAGCCGAGTACATCGTGGCAGCCTGCTGTGCGGGGTGGAGAAAAAAGGCGGGAGGCGCAATCGGCGCCACGGGAGCCATGCCGGCATAACCACCATACATCGCTACACCCCAACCACACACACCAAGACGCAGTATGTATGTATGAGTGCACTCACTTACTCACTCATGTTCTTTCCCAGACGTACGTCACCGGACGAGGGCCGCGCCATTCGTGTCGTCGTGCCGCAAGGGGGCGGGACAGGATGACCGGGCTGCGGGGTCGTGCTCCTGTCTCAACCAGACGCGGCTGCTGCTCCTGCTGACTCACTCTTTGTTTGAAGAAGCCGTCTGATGACGATGCCGCCGGCGCCGCTGGTGCTGGTGCTGGTGGTGGTGCTGGTGGTTGGGACGCCGGCTGCTCTTGCTGCTCGCCTGTGTGTCGAAACAGACGAGCACGGGAACACACATGACATGCATTTGTGAGTGGTGTTTGGTGTGTGGTGTGGACGTACTCGGCTGGTGCTGGTCTCCCTGACCGGACATACTCCCTGACCATCTGTATTACGGATCCTGACGCAACATCTTACGCTTCCAAGAACCGATCGACCAAGTCCATCCTGAAGCAGCACGAGACCGCCAAGAAGAAGAAATACCGCTCGGCCGTCTGCGACTCCCGCGTGACCTTCTGCCCTCTGGTGGTGACGTGTGACGGTGTGTGGGGACACGATGCCAACGTGTTCATCGCCCACATGGCTCATGCGCTGTTGGAGAAGGAGGGGTGGAAGGGTCGGGGGTTCAGTCATGTGTCTGGATGGATTCGCTCTCGCTTGTCTATCGCCCTCGCGCGTGCGACTAGCTTCTGTCTGCGTGGGGGAGGGAGGGGAGGGTTTGCGGGACTGGGGTGTGCTGATGGGGCGGGGATTGATCCCTCCTCCCCTTGAGCCTGTTTGAGTCTGCGTGCTGATGGGACTGTATTTGTATGAGTATCACGGACACACAGACGAGT